TCAAAGCCACTTGGATACAAAACTACACAGTACCCCATTACATTGAGTGGCTCTTGGCCTTTATATTAGGTGAACATTAGTATTGGGTTGGTGCATAATTATCAGGCGTTTTTGTAGGCGAGTTATTTGTTTATAAAAATTGCTGTTTTGATTATTTTTTTTTTAATAAAAATATTATTTTATTTTCAGGTGATAAAATTGCGTGTTGATAAGCATACACTCCGGAATAATCATTTTAAAATGTTATTGTTGAATTGTTATTTCTTTTTACGTAATAAATATTGTTTAAAAAAACGCCTGATAATTACGCACCAACCCAATATATTTCCTTTTTGTTAATTCTTCCTATCTAAACTAAACGCAATAGAGAAGTTAGGCTTATGCCACGCTATATTGAAAGTTCGCTTCTCACATGAGTTAAGCAATTGGCATTGATGGAATTTATCTTCCAACAAATGCCGTCTTAATATTAGGTTGGTGCATAATTATCAGGCGTTTTTGTCGGCAAGTTATTTGTTCATAAAATTGCTCTTTTTTTTTTACTTTTTTAAATAAAAAATATTTTATTTTCAGGTTATAAAAATGCATGTCGATAATCATATGGTCTGGAATAATCATTTAAAAATGTTATTGTTGAATTGTTATGTTTCTTTTTTCATAATAAATATTGTTTAATAAAACGCCTGATAATTATGCACCAACCTAAAATAAAAATATACTTGAATATTTAACTGATATAAAATACAATATGTTAAAGGGCGTTCCAATAACATGGACCGATTTTAAATGTGAATTAAGTTGAAGAGTCTAATCATATTTTTTCTTTTTCTTTCAGATTTGGCGGACATTTCGGCGATATTATTTTTTCACACATAATTGCCATGACTTAAATAACATGATCCAATAGAGAAATAAATACATTTTCACCAATAACACTGATTTATTCACTGCTTACTTTGATCCTTCTTAATGAAACATCCTTATATATAATCCGTCTTAATGAAACACCTTTTATTTTGTATTGCATTAAAAGAATGTACTTGGGTTATTTTAAACTTCAAAATTCCATCTTATATAAATCATGTCCCTTTAGAACGTTGGCGATTATGACTCTTCACAATTTTCTGTCCTTTCAATTTCTTAGTTTTATCTTTTGCTCTCTGTCCTAACCCCTGTTCAGCCAATCACTTACACAAGTTCCTTAGGTAGGTCATGTGCTGATTTCCTCTACTCCTCTTGCCGTCATCGTGTTCTGTGAGTGTCAAATTTTCTAAGCCAACTTTCCTCATTATGTGACCTAGAAATTCCAAATGTCTCTTTCTGGTGTTTAGTATAAGTGTCCTTTTTGCGTCCATTTTCTCTTCATCGTTGCTCATATGATCCGTATATAGAATTCCCAGCATCCTCCTGTAAAAACCATGTTTTTGTTACCTCATGTAACTTCTTCATCTGTGATGAGGTTTTCCAGCATTCACTGCCTTACAGGGGGACTGATATCACATAACAGTTCAGGATTTTGGGAAACCCGAATCAAACCTATCGAGATGAAACACCGGCCCCAACCGTTGAGGGAAAATGAAGCCGGAGGACCCTTAAGGTCGGTATTATTGAACAGCTAGCGACTCATGGCTAAACGGAAAATACGGAGAAGTTCGAAGTTGGGGTAGTGTGGGGTGTGAGTTGAGAAGTGATCTGTGTGTTGTTAGACGTGTTAATGATAAAGCGTTGTCAAAGGTAGTAGGTTACAATAATTTTTGTGGTAACTAAAAAATAGATGGCATTATTTAAATGTTCGAATATTCAAGGTATTTTGGTTTATATGTTCATTTAATTTATTTATCAAAAAAAAAAGTCTAATGGTAACTCTAGCGAAAAGAAAGATGGCGTTATGTAAGTGTTCAAATATCCAAGATAACAGTGAATGCATTAATTTAAATTTATTTATCAAAATAAAAAATAAATTGTCTAATGGTAACTCTAGCGAAAAGAAAGATGGCGCTATGTAAGTGTTCAAATATCCAAGATAACAGTGAATGCGTTCATTTAAATTTATTTATCAAAATAAAAAATAAATTGTCTAATGGTAACTCTAGCGAAAAGAAAGATGGCGTTATGTAAGTGTTCAAATATCCAAGATAACAGTGAATGCGTTCATTTAAATTTATTTATCAAAATAAAAAATACTTTCAACTGCAATTTCTAATGGTGACTTTACCATATATAGAGATGGCTTTTCGTTTGTAAAAGTTTAAATATGCAAGTGAGCAATGATAAATGTTTTTAATTTTTTTTTTTGTTACATCGGTTCAATTTTATTCGATGACAATATTCTGTTCCCAGTAGCAGGTGATATTTAATTTGCTTGTTCATGTTGAAGATGCAAGGCTGCCATGATGGTATGGAACGAAAGATGTAACCAAAAAAATCTTCTGACAACGCGGCGAATTCCGATCCTTGCTAACTGAATTATCTCTCTGCACTGCGATAATTTTTTAAAATTTATTACACGTATATTTTTTCCTCCATCCATCGAATCCTCGACACCCCACGCAGCACGAAAAACGTTCTTTCTTTGAAATAATTACCTTTGTCTAGAAAGTAATTATTTTCTCTTTATAAAAAAAAACAAACTAACAAACAAAAAAATAAAAATAAAAAAAGGCAGCTCTTCGTTGCAAATTTTAAGAATAGTGAAAATATCTCACAGAGTTCAATTTCCACTAAGTGGATTACTCCCATAGCCTTGTGCCGGACTAAGCTTTATAGCCGGTCGCTCGTTTCCAAATATGTCTGCTCGTGTGGCGAGCTGATCACTATTGCAGACGCCGGATCAGGCACATTTGTCTTTCTACAGAGTCCACATAGCCCACCTGTGGTTTATACTGGAACTATACTAAGCAGATCTTATTGTTTTTGGGAGAGAGGGCATACTCTGGCGGGATCACATATTCGAACAAGTCCATCACATTCAAACCTCGGTTACGATTTTTTTTTAAATATTTCACCACAAGCAAGGCAATAAAGCCGCTAAGACGCAAGGGTGTGAGAGAAGATGAGAACAAGAAAACATTATTATGGAGAAAGAACAAAACAAAGAAAATGGAGGAATGTTAGAAACTAACAATCTGTTTTTGTTTTGTGAGAGAAGATAACGAAATAGTTTTTCTATCGACGTTTATGTGGACAAATCAATTTTGTTTGCATTTTCCTGAGGCAGCACTAAAACCAGCAAGTCTGGCCGTGTCAAAAATCAAACACAGTAATTTGCATAATGAATTCCAACAACCATTGCCGCCAGGGTAGCGTATCGGTCATCGGTGTGTAAAGCGGAGTCGGAGAGGTCAGGTTCAGGTCCTTACAGTAGTGGTCACTTTCGGACAAATACACTTCTCCCTTTTGGTATGGGCTAAACATGGCGTGGAAACCAACCTAGGAGAATATTGCGGAGAAGGCGACGAGAAACCATTCCACTAGTTTTCTCGAGAAGTCTGAGCAATTCATGGATAACAAGGAAAAGGAATCTGTGATGTACCTTGACCATTTACGCCCCGAAGGTACATAGTATTTAAAAAATACTGCTCCGAAAGCAGCAGTAGTGCATTATTAGTTGACGACGCTGGGGTAATACTTTCGGGGCTTAAATATCATTACCAATAGCTTAAAGGAGTTCCAGCTGTATCACACGATATCTTTTTGTTATGTCACAAAGATCTGCTGAAACAGCTAGATAACCTAAACATATGGGTAAATTTGCTTTTTACTGCCCACGCTAAATATCTCTTAAAATTTTCCCAAATCGTCATAATTCCGTATAAATGTACCTGCTGAACTCGAATTAACAATTAAATTATGAATAAAACCTACCGTTTTAGAGTTATCGACAAGAAAAAAAATCGGATTTCTTGTTGGTCATTCGTCCATTATTACTGCCATACTGTTTAGTAATTTACTGCGGGATGCGTCCAGCGGCGAAAGCACAAATTTTGGACAATTTACTTCTTTTACAGACTTTCGGTGCATAACCCCCCCCCCCAAACCACTATGCACTATCGTAAAGCAATTTTTTCTTATAAGTGAATTTAATTATAACAGAAAACTTTAAACGAAAACAAATTCAGTAATACAATAAAACATTTTTTTTCTGTGTAGAATAGCAATGACAAATTAGAAGAACAAATTAAATAATACAATGAAGCATTTTTTATATTTTAAACTTGGTAAAGTAGAAACGAAATAAGGGTTGATTGTATTATTTATTTATTTTTTTAGTTTGTCCCCTTTTCTACACAGAAAGAAGCCAAACACAAACCCTATCCCTAACATCTAACCCTAAACTTAACCCGGGTTATGGTATTATTTAATTTTAAATTCCCCCCTTTTCTAACCAGAAAGAAGCCAAACACAAACCCTATCCCTAACACTGATACGGTTATAATTTTGAAGGACGCCTTCTGTAGCATGTCCATCATGCGTAGCCCTCTCCATCCGCTGGTTTCACCGTTTAGATCTGTTGTAAGCGCCATCCGCTTATTCTATCGTTGGGGTCTTTTGAGTTGATCGAGCTTAGCCTGGGTGTTGTCATTATCATTGTTGTATCGTTTTTACGTATTTGGAGTTACAAGTGAAAATGTGATATCATTCGAAAGTAGGGGGATATTTTTTTTCTTTTTTTAAAGCATCACTTATTGGGTTGAGAGGGTACCGATCGAAATGTATCGCCAAGAATCGGTGTAATCGTGTTACGTTCATTAATCTGAATGGCCCAATTATGTTTACAGCTCTCAGAACGAACGGGGAAAGATTATTTTGACGTCATCAACTTGACTAATTCAATAATTCAGCTCTCAGTATGACGTCGACTCCAGATGACAAGCAGTTTAACCTTTCCTTATTAATTTTTTTCTCTCCTTTTATAATTGATGAAAAGAATAAAGAGAACTGGGAAGAAAGAAAGAAAGAAAGAAAGAAAGAAAGAAAGAAAGAAAGAAAGAAAGAAAGTGTCAGAAAGAAAGAAAGAAAGAAAGAAAGAAAGAAAGAAAGAAAGAAAAAAAGAGAAAAAGGTGGTTGAGAAAGAGGGGGCGTGGAAAGAAAGTGGACGGGAGAAAGGAGGGAGAGTATGGGCAAGAAAGAAGAGGAGAGAGAAGGAGGGCCAGACAAGGAAAAAGGAAATTGAGAGAGAAAGGGGGGTAAGAGGCGAATAGAAGAAAAAGAGGAAATAGAGATTGGGTTACCAGGGAAGAGAAAGATGAGAAGAGAGAAGATTTAGGGAGAGAGATGATGTAGACAGAAAAGAGTGTGTGTGTGAGAGAGAGAGTGAGAGAGAGAGAGAGAGAGAGAGAGACAGAGAGAGAGACAGAGAGAGTGGAGGGGGGAGGAAATAGGCCAGTGATGGGGAACAGAGGAGAAGAAGAAAGTCGGGATGGGGAGAGAAGTGTTGGTAGAGAGAATGACAGAAACAAAGAGAGAGAGAGAGAGAGAGAGAGAGAGAGAGAGAGAGATAATGAAACAAGAAGATATAGGGAGAGAAAGAGGAACGGAAAGGAGAGGTGAAAGAAAAGAAGAATTTTAATTTTTCTTTTTGTTCCGTAAAATTGGGGGATTTGACTTACTGGATTTCGAGATATTCATTTTCACGTTTCATTCTGATTCGGCTCAAGAAAATGGCAGATTTTCTTTAAAATCGAGAGATTACAAAACATGGAAACGGAATCATTAATCATTTTCGGTCAGTATTTTTTCTCGATAGAATTTTCGTATTTACTATACATCGATTTATTAAATCTAATTCTTTCTGTTCTATTCTCGTTATTACATCAATTCAGCCACTGTACTCTTCGGCCTTCATACACACTGTATTTCTCTTGAAATGTTCTCTTATTATTATACATCGATTCATTGATACTGTACCTTTTTACTTTCAAAACCAGAATAGACCCAATTAAAATGGAATAGTGTTAGTTAACATGGAATCGATTAACTTTTACATCGTGTCTGTTTTTTTTTATCACGGGATATGTAGTGGAAGAAGTATTGCGATGGTCACAATGTTCATCTATCAGGATCCCCCCTCCCTGTATGGTAGTACGAACCGGCCCTGTCTGTGAGTCAAATAAATGGTTCCAATGGAATTTTTGAAAGGCTACCGAATACAGAAAGGTAAAAATAGATGAGGGTCGAAATATTTTGATAAATAAACAAACACCGTTCAATTTAAGTCACACTTCGGTCATATAAAACCTTCATCATCCAACTGCTTCCCAGCCTGATCAAAATGTTGTTTCTGTTTCGTCATTTAAGTGTCGACTTGCTACTGGGCCATTCCTGGATAGAATCATCGTCACTGATGAAAAATGGCTTTTCTATAATCAAATCAAACTGAAGCGACATTGCGTTTATATTTTTGCACTCACAGGAAAAGAGAGAATACACCCTCAAACTAAGATTACTCCCACTCCACAAAAATTATACTTTGTGTTTGAAGGGTTATGAAAGGTCTTATCTATCATAAATTTTTTTTAACCATTTCACCATCTGCAAGACAACAAAGCCAATAAGACGCTGGTGGGGAATATACACCCTGAGAATATACACCCTTGTGCAAATTAATTGAAACAACCGCTTTAGTTTCCTTTCTTTCACTATACGATCAGTTTTAGACCCACCGGAGTGACAGGGTATAATCAATTTCTATTTTTCCTCAGATTAGGTCATTTGCAGTGCTATGCAGTAATATGAATCAATTTTAGGGATGTATGATGAAATTTGTTTGGCCTTGAAAAATATTGCGTCATCCGATTTTGATCACGCCCAGACACGCCTCAATTAGTTGTCCTAAGACCATTGTCAGCGATGGACGTTACTCCAAGTGAGCGTGCGAAAATTGTGACGCTGCACAAATACAATGGCAAATCTTACCAGTGACCAAATCAAAGTACTACAGACTAGCCCAGAAACTCTCCTGATTTAAATCCAATCGAGAATCTGTGGTCAATCTGCGAGGAACGACTTCGTGGAATGGACATACAAAGTACTAACATGTGCACTGGGTCATGTTTCATTGGAAAAAAATACGAAAAAAGTGAATAATAATGAGATTATTTGTTTTGTTTCACTTAATTTGCACAAGGATGTATAAAAAAAGGAAATTAATGTGAGAGAACAATAAAAGAACAGGAATTAAGACGACAGAAGATAACGATCGACATTGCGTTTATATTTTTGCACGTTAAAATTGAACTGGAAAGCAAGAATCTGAAAGAGAATCCCACAAGCGAGAAGTGCGATTGAAGAAACTGTTAGCATAGAACTTACGGTTACCTCTAGACATTTGAATTGTGAAATGTTGAAACCTTGGTGCTAATCTAGTACTGCGCTTAAATTTGTAAAGTCTAAGGACGAAAGAAGAAAGTTCTTCAGAACAATTAACGTGAAAGTATTTATAGAAAAAGCACAGGAAATTATATTACGGCTGTGGCAAAGGGACTGAAGCCGAAATGCCAGATCTGGACCAATGGCCATTGTAGAATCTTCTTTGAATTTTATTAGGGATCTCTATGTACCAGATCATATTTGGCAGCAATCTTCAAAGTATGAATGATTAATACTGAAAATTAGTGTCGTCAGTTGGAAACAGTGCAGAAAAAATTGCGCCTACCAATAATGTTAAAGGCGCTATAAGACAACATATAACCCGAATCACACAGAAAAAAAGATTATGGCACTAAATATAGAAGTTTGATCCTTCTCCTCTTTACTCTCCTGACCTTGCTCCATCTGACGATCATCTTTTTACATTATTGCAACATGTTTTTTTTTTTTTTTTTTTTTTTTTAAATGTGAACAGGTTAAAATCGATATTGAGTGTTTCTTTGCGTTGAAAGCTAATTTTATACCCGAAGGACCAACAGTTGACAAATAAGTTGGATTATATTATCGATCATGATGGGAAATATGAACTTGATGAAAATTGATCGATTATGGCTAAAGAAGCTTTTTTTTTCATGTTAAAAATGATAGAACATTGTTTGCAGTCTAATAACTTGATTTATTCAGACCAGTTTCCGCATACAGTATTTACATTAGTCGGACTATTGTCCTCATCTTTGTCGCCATATTTGTCACAACGTTTCGGTCGTTGTACGCTCCGGCCTTATTCAGGTGGTTGGAATTTCGAACTGAACCCTTTATTTCGATCACTGGGGCAGACTGTTCTAGTTCCACGTGCCATGTTTGATGGATGTCAGTTATCAGTTATCTCCTGCTAATTTTCCCTCTGAAAGTTCTCCACTGCCTTAACCAGGTATTGAACTCACCTTCTTTGGGTCTGTCACTGGATCTAACCAACGCCTTTATCCACTGTGCCATGTGTCCTTGAGGACAGTGGTTAAGGCAAAATTTGACTCTCAGCATATATCTGAGATAATAAACTTCATTTACTATTATACAATGATACAATTAAATTTATTTTCTCATCGTGTTTTTATCAACGGATAGATAGTGACCGGAGGACAACATATATCTGCGAGCAGGGTGGTCGTAAGGGTCTTGTGGCCTCCCCACCGAAACTATGATAGCCCCCGCCCCTCGAATCTATGACACGAGGCTTCCACTCTAACACATCTCAATTTTCATAAGGTAGTATTCATATCAAATACAAACTTTATTGCAACTTAATTGTGTACAATAATCGATCATAAGTAATATCGATTGTTGGTGCTAGTAAAATAGGGGGTCAGTGTATAATAGCAGTATAATATATATATATATATATATATATATATATATATATATATATATATATATATATATATAGCTCTGCTATTATAATCAAACATAATATGCTGTCTAAGTAGTCAACCACTAGCAGCAGTTTACCTACTTCACGGTGCTGTCGAGTATTTTATTTTGTTATAAAGATTACCATTTCATTTCCAATCTCCGTTTTGGTTATTCCTCATTTAGTAACTTTTCCTAGGTTACAACATCTATCTATCTATCTATCTATCTATCTATCTATCTATCTATCTATCTATCTATCTATCTATCTATCTATCTCCGTGTCTTCGTTATCTATCTAGCTATATATCTATCTACCTCTTCATTATCTATTGTTATACACCGTACATATGAACTCTAATGGATATGTCCCTATCTTCATAAATATGTTGGGTGCTATTGTAAGTGGGGGTAATATACTAAGTAATCCACCATTAGCAGTGGTTTACCTATTTCACGCCGCTGGCGAGTATTGTATTTTGTTGATGTTATAAAGATTACCATTTCATTTCCAACCATCGTTTTGGTTATTTCTCATTCAGTAACCCTTTCTAGGTTTCAACAATATATATATATATATATATATATATATATATATATATATTCACACACACACACACACACACACACATATATATATATATATATATATATATATATATATATATTCATTAACAATTACAACAAAAAACATGTTACAAATCATACAGAAATGCAATTATGTTTGTGCACTGCATGTGTTCCTTTAGGTGCATATATATATATATATATATTTATATATATATATATATATATATATATATATATATATGTGTGTGTGTGTGTGTGTGTGTGTGTGTGTATGTATATATATACTCGACTCTCCCGTCGAATTCGACGTATGAGGTCAAACAGATCAGTTCCTAGAAACCGACAACAGCACATGAGATTCGATTATAGTGGTGAAGGTTTCGTGCAGGACCATCCACACTTTTTGAAGGGCCAAATACAGAGACCTGGTGAACTACGTGCCACAAGGTCCCCAAACGACTCTCCGCTGGTTTTGAATTCAGAGTTGTCCTTCTCCTAGACCAGTTGCCATCCAAGGCTATAGAACCCAGTCTATCCTGCTATTTACCCATAGCTGGAGGGAGAAGAAGAGGCTTTTTACCTGATTTTCGGGGTTAACTATTTGCCCATAGCTGGGACCCTAACAGGTGCTACCACCCCGGGTTAGGGTGGACTTGGGAACACCTGCAATTAAGAGGTGGTTCCACGCTCCTCAAAATCTCATGATCAGAGACCTTGCTATTGGAGGTAGTTTATTGTCTTACCCAGGACAGGAATTTGAAAGAAAAAAAAAACTAATGAAGAAAAGAACGGTATGTAAAGTAAGTAAAATATAACGTAAGAATAAAAGTAAAAAAGAAATGGTTGCTCCGAAAGTAACACCCCTATTGAGCGACGACGTCAGAGTTAGGGGTCATCCTGTAGAGACTGAACCTTCCCGCCAAAAAAACATAATTATTTTTTCCTTTTTTTTTCGACTTCTACTTAGCTGTTTTCTTTTTTGTTTTTTGTTTTTTATTTAAAACGGTTTGGGCAAATACTTGTACTAACGTCTGATACAACCAAACTCACACACATATATTTGGTAAACCCAACATATTTTGTTGCTAATTTCACCGCAAACTTTTCGCCCTTTTTATACAGAAAACTTATTTCATGAATAAAATCATTATTAACCTGAAAAAGTTCTTTCTCGTAACGAAACATATCACAATTTCTTTTTCGTTCCATAACCAAAGATTTCCAATGATTAGATGGATTCGAATTTAAATTATTAGCTATATCTTCTTATATATCACGTTGAAACACCGATTCTCGTCAGATCCCTAAGGTTAAGCAAGTTTGAGTTAGCATAAAAATTTTGGTTCCATCTAAATTCAACTGCAAAATGATGAGACCTTTCCGCCAATCTAGTATTGCGCTTGAAGTCTTGGTACCATAGTGAAGACCTCATCAAAACAATTACCCTGCAAGTATTTACAGAAAAGCCAAGGGAAGCTACATTTCGGCGGTGGGAAAGTGACTGAAGCCGAGATGCCAGGTCAGGACCAATAACATTGCTGATTCTTCGTT